GACCCCAGCCCTGGACCTGGCTGGCAGAAGAGCCCTCCCCACCCCCATCATCCTATGTTGGATGCTCTGGAAGCTCTGGAAGATCTCTGCCCTCTCCCAGGCCTGAGGCAGAAGCACCAAGTCGAGGTTCAGGGCCGTGGCTGTTAGCGAGCCGTGTGGATTGTCCACATACTGGGGTAATTTTCAATCTCATCTTGGTTTCCCTGGCTCTCTAGGTGCTTCCAAAACCCAGACCCCTGCTTTCAACAGGCATCTCCAAGGAATGACAACTAGTCCTTCTAATTTTCTAAGAAAACCATATTTCAGAGTTTTCTGCTACTGACTTCTCAGTCTGTGGCCAAAGCTCAGCAAAGGGACGGAGAGACCAGCTCCCCCTCCCCTTTTCTGGGCCACTTCCCCCCATAATCCACAGATGAAAAAGCAGTCTACAATCACTGGCATGTTCTGGGCCAAAGCCACAGAGCTTCTAGGGCCCAGCCTGTCCTCCCCACTCCCGCTGGGGACCGGGCTGGGTGTTACCACACAGCTCTGCGTTCCAGCACTGCAGGGGCCCCGGGAGCTCATTCCCTGTACAACTGACATCCCTGCATGCCCTTTTCCTTCCCCTAGTGCAGCCTGCTCCAGGAGCTAACAGCCAGTATCCAAGAGCACTCCTGTTCTCAGAGCACATCCCAAGTCAAAGAATTTCCAGGCAAGGGAATAGCCATAAAGCTACGTTCAAGGACAAAGAGCCCTCAAGAGCCACTACTTAGAGGAACTGAGCAAACTGTACCTTAGCAACCCCCAAGCTCTCCCACAAACACCCCTGGAGGGGTGCTTAACATTTCCCAGGCAAGGACTCCGCCTCTGTCACAACAATGCCTGGAACCAAAAGACAAGGACCCCCGCTCAGAGTCCTTGGCCTTCTCAGCTTGTTAGCCCTGGGAGCAGTGGCTGAGGTGCTCCATATGCCCCATGGGAGAACCGATCCTGCCCTGGAGCACTGGGAGCCCTGCCAGTTGGGCCAGTTGTTGGCTGTGGCACACGGCAGCTTGGGCTTAGGTCCTCAGGCCCTGGTCTGGGGAGGGAGCAACCTGGTGCTGTCTAGGGTTGGGCCAGAACCTCGGTGGCCTACACAGGATACTTGCTGTCTTCAGCCCGGGGCCATATGACCCCACTAGGACCACAGAGCCTAGGGAAGGAGACACAAGCACTGGTTTGAGTCTAGGAGCTGACACTGAGTTTGATTTCTTTCTTCTGGATTATTTGCCTGTTGCCACAGCCCTGGAGAAGTGGGCTGGGATCTCCGGGCTAGAAGAGACAGTGGTGTTCAGCTCATAGTGGTCCTAGTCTCTGATAGTCTTGGGTGAGTCCAGACCCCTCACCAGGGCTCACACCCAGCAGACTCATAGCTGTCCTCTCTTGTGAGGAAAAAAGGAGAGTAGGGGTCCAAGGCCCTACCAAGAACAGGTGTCCATGCAGAGGAATGCATGACTACATGGTGTCTGGAGGAAAGGGCACCTCAGGATCCTGTGGAGGGCAGTCCAGACCCTGAAGGAGAAACCTAGCTGAATAAGTCATGTCTGAGCAACTGACTTCTCCTCTGAGCTTCAGTTTCTCATTTGTGACCAGAGGGATGGGCCTAGAAGCCCAGACAGGTGACTTCAAGCACCAACAGACACAAAGGTCCTCCCACTTACGTGAGGCCCATCCCCAGGTTGGCCAGCACCCCCCTGGGAAGCCAGGCTCAGGCCACCAGCTCTGCCAGCATCGCTTACCCAGTCACCTGTGGGGATTCACAAAAGTAAGGGAGGCAAGGTCACGGCCCAGAAGTCCCTGCATTGAGCCAGGCGATAGGAAATGGGGCCGCTCCCCTCTGGGGCCCATGGACTTAATTTCTGCAGCCTAGGGGAGCCTGGGAAGAAAAGGTGGGTTGCAAAAGACAAAAAGCTGTCCCATCCTGGGGTGCCTGGGTGGCTCAGTGGGTTAAAGCCTCTGCCTTCAGCTCAGGTCATGATCTCAGGATCCTGGGATTGAGCCCCACATCGGCTCTCTGCTCAGCAGGGAGCCTGCTTCCTCCTCTCTCTCTGCCTGCCTCTCTGCCTACTTGTTGATCTCTGTCTGTCAAATAAATAAATAAAATATTTTTTAAAAAATGTTTAAAAAAAAAACCTGTCCCATCCCTAAACCACTTAACAAATGTTCCACAGAACAGTCAGATGTTGAACCCCACTGTAAATAGAAACTGACTTGTGGGCAGACACTTATGATGCAGGTCCCAAGCCCCGAGCACACCCCCAGGGAAAGCTGAGCCCACCTGGACTGGAGCCGGGCATTCTGACTCTGAGACTTCCAGCTCAGAACACCCGGCTCCCAGAAGGGCCACCAGATGGGGTTAGGCCCCTTCAGAAGGCGTAGACGCCCCCACCAAAACCAGCTGTTTTCTCAGAGCAGAAGGGCAGGCCATGGATTGCTCTGATCAACTGTGTGCCGGTGTGGCCTGAAGACTGAGAGCCCACATTTAAAAGATGGGACTATCTCAAATGAAAAGCCAGCTTCCCAGCTTCTCCAGAAATTTCAGCAGTGCTGGCAATGCTGCGTCCACACACCCTCTTAGCCACCATCAGCCGGCCTGAGCAGCCGCTGACCCCTGAGTGAGCGAATCCTCCCCCAGCCCCACTGTCTCTGACAGTAGAGAAATGGGTCCTTTCCCCGTGTCTTTCTCAAAAATCTCAAAATGACAGACAGACCAAGAGGGCTCTGTACCTCAAGAGAAGGGAGCAATAGCTCGTTAGTATATGGTGACATGAAGACAGTGCCAACACCCAGTCACCTCGCTCGCTGTCTGCCCGACATCTGAGCTTGCCACCCGCCCCAGCACGTGACCACAGTCAGGAAGACTTCCCATGGCATACACAGGCTGCCCGAGCTAGTGCTACCACAACGGGCAAGGACACACCCGAGTTTGGTGAGCACACTGCGATTTCTGTCACAGCCACGAGCCCTCGCTCACCCCAAGCTCCACTCCCTCGGCCCCCTCAGCAAGGGCAGCATCGAAGGAAAGCCTGTTTCTAATGAGGCAGACACAGGACAGGCCCAGGGGTCACAGTCCAGCCGGAAAAGTCTAGGCAAGCGCTGGAGGGGAGTACACACCAGGGACAGACGAAGAGGGGTGACACATTTACGTTTACCAACCCCTGCCACCAGCCCCTGCCTCTGTCCTGGGTCATAACTCAGAAGACACAAGACTCTGCTCTGTCTCGCTCTCACCACCGCCCTGGGCCTCCCAGCTGCAGGCACTGTGCCCTCCCTGCTCAGTCAGCTGCCCCCTCACCCTTCCTGGAGCCACTGCAGTCCTCCTCCAGCTTGGCTGGCCAGAGAGCCCGGCCACAGGCGGCCACGGCAGAGACATGGGAGTCACGTACAACCCATGAGGCTGGAGTGGGGCAAGCAAGAACATTTCTAAAAGAGATGGTTGCTCTCAGGAACCGAGCTGGCCCCCACCACAGCAGAGGATTTAGACACGGAATTGCTCCTCTGCCCAGACTAGTTCCTTAAATGATACCCAAGTCCCAGTGGTAATCTCCTTCCAGAAGCCTCTTCCAATTGGGACTCCACCTCTGTTGTTCCCGATCAGCCTACTGTGTCCTGAGAGCGTGTTCTAAGGCCACTCTTGGCGGGGGTGGGGCGCGGCTCTACTTGGCCTCTGGAGCACCCGGGGCCTGGAGCTGAAGGAAGCAGGAGGAAGGGCCTGGGCCCAGAGATGGACAGAAGGGAGCCTCATCCACTCATGCCAGCTGTCTAAGCGAGGGGACTTGCTCAGCTACCTGGACAGCTCAGAAGTGTTCTGGGCCTCAAGGCCCCACCTCCTACAGGGGAAAATCCAACCCCAGGAGCAGAGCTTCCAGAGCCTTGGCCCCTGCCAAGCATCTCCACCTTATCTCTGGGCATTCTCCCATGGACACCCACCATACCAGCCAATCTCCAGACAAACCTGGTTCTCCTGCCCTCTCCTGGAACCCTGCATGTGCTGTTCCCTAGGCCTAAAATGCCCTTCTCTCCCTTCTGGAGGCTCCACAGGGAAGCTACTTCATGGCCTCATTCAGCCTCCAGAAACCACATTTGTGCCATGGATTGGCACTGTGTGTGTGTGTGTGTGTGTCTGCCTTACTAGCTGGAGGGAGACCCCTCAAAGGAAGGAGACCCCAGATCCTAATGCAGAACAAGCAGGGGACCCTCTAGGAGGGGCCTCTCCCACTGCCTATTATCAGGCAAAAGCCTACAGCCTACACCTGTGTCTCCCCTCCCAGACCCCATGTGACAGGCCCTAAGAAGCACAGCACTGCCCCTCAATGCCCCAGACCCCATGCAGACGCCAGCCCCGCTCCCGGCCAGCACAGCGCCTGGCCTCATCCCAGAAGGAGTGAGTTCAAGGCCAAGACGCAGAGACGGTGGATGGACAGATTCATCCACTGGGGAATGCCCCAGAAGTCCCCAGGGAGTTCCTCTTTCTGGGCCTGACCAAACAACCCTAATGGTTTGCAGCCTTCAGACAACAACAGCAATTAAGAAGAGCACAAACCCTGGAAAATCACCAATCCTAGCCCTTCAGACCTCTGACGTCAGGAGTCCCCAGGGAGGCAGGTGGGCACGCTGCACAGATGGAGAGGGTCCTCCATCAAGGCCTCTCGGAAACCGTTACCAATGAGAAGAAGCCACCTGCGAAGGCAGAGTAGTCCCTCGTGGCACAACCACTTCTGAGAAGCCCTTGGCTGGTGCGGGGACGCCTACAATCTTAGGCCATGTGGAAGTCACCCAGGACAGCGTGTGGGGGCACTGAGACCGTTCATGCCCCTGGCTGCAACCGACAGAAGGGGAGAAGGAGCAGCACTGCCCAAGGTACAAGGATGGGCAGAACTGAGAAACCAGGACTGCCGGACCATCTCCGCGACACCTTAGGGACAGGCCCACGCCCGAGAAACCCCAGCTCCACCCCACCAGCCAGCAGAAGCAAAACATACCTTTCAGGGAGGCAACGTGGGACAGGGCCTGGGCATAGGTGGCCGTGTTCAGGAGGGTTCCCGGCAAGCAAGAGGGGAAGAAAGGTCCTGTGGGACCCACAGTTCTCCCCAGGCTGCTGGAGATAAAAATCACACTGAGTTCCCAATCCTGTGTAGACGCCAAGCCTCCAGACCCCGGGGGACTCACCCGCCTCACCTCTGCTGGGCTTCCAGGGCCTCCTTCTTGCTCCGGGCCTGGTCCCCCGGGGGCGGGGAGTTGATGTTTCTCACGGGCGGTGGCGTCACCTCTGCCATGGGCTCCTTGGCTCCTGGCTCTTGGTCGGAAGCCCCTCTCTCTGTTTTCCTCCATTTGGCCCTTCGGTTCTGGAACCACACCTGAGTCGCCCATGGAAATGCACATCCCAGGGAGGCAGAAAATCAGACAGGAGCAAAAACCCAAACGCCTGGGTTCCGGCCCCCATGCTCACGGCTCACCTTGCAGCAGCTGCGTGGGGGACCAGCCTCCTCTCTTCCAAAGATCTCCCAAAGCCGTGCCCTCTGGACTACAGCTTCAAACCCAAAGATGGGTCAGAAGATCAGTGTAGAAGGCATGACAGGCATTTTTCTTAAATAAACGTTAAATCATAGAAAGTATCCAAATGTATCGCCCACAGTAAAGGTACAAGCATGGAAATTTTTGACGTATCCAAGTGCGTTTATTTGATGTGAAACATATTTGCTATGGTTGGAGGGAGGTGGACTCATCATCGCAGCAGTTTGTAAAACACTGTCCTGGGGTTTCCTCATCAAAAATACTCATTCCCTATTCTCAAAGGTTTGCCTTAGCCGGGGAATGTGTCTGGCCTGAGACTCATGAAATCATCTCTGACATGTCATGAAGCTCGTGACTGGCAGCCCAGTGCACCCATGAGGCACGACGCCTCTGGAGTCAGCCTGGCCTGGTTTAGAATCCACCCCGACCCTGTAAGGCAGGTGGGTCTATCCCTGCTTTACAGATGAGACTGCTAAGCACAGACAGGTTAATTAAACAGCCCAAGGTCATTCAGGTGGTAA